GCCATGTGGGTGCTGGGAATCAAACCTGGGTCCTCTGCAAGAACAGCCAATGCTCTTAACCACTAAGCCATCTCTCCAGCCCCTCAATGTGTGTGTGTGGGAGTGTGTGTGTGTATGTGTGTGTGTGTACATATAACTTTTTTTTTTTCTCTTTTTTGAGACAGGGTCTCCCTGTAGCTCCAGCTGCCTGGAACTCACTCTGGAGACCAGGTTGACCTTGAACTCACAGCAGATCCGCCTGCCTCTGCTGCACCACCACGCCTGGCCAATGTATATTTTTTATTGAATTTTTGTGGATTTCATAGAGTACATTTTAATTAAATTTAGACCTCCCCTATCCACACACCCTCATAGCTCAGCCACAGGATTTCACACATTCTGTCTTATATATTAAAGCCTAGCAAGTCAAGTTTGTGTACTCAGCAGTCTCCTGGTGTGAGTTCATCCAGTGGAGCCAAGTCAGTCTATCTAGCATCACCCCGTTATGAATCAATTCTCTCTCACCCAGCAGTGATCAGCTGCCAATAGTTCATCAGCTAAGATTGGGTCCTCCTGCCCATTTCCTTGGAAGGATTTTTTTTTAGCTAATGTCTTCAAGTGCAAGTAGAAACATCCATAAGCTTGGTTATGCTCTACCGAAGCCACCAATTTCACATCAGTCCTAACCTCTGTAAACATGCCAATGATCCCATCAGCAGCATCCTCAATCTCCCTATGAAGAGCTAAAGAGGGAAATGTAAATAAAAGCCATGTTCCCTCCCTGCTGCCACCTTAACTCCCGGTATGTTCAAGATTCAGTTGCAGCATCACTCTACCGCACTGCCACGCCAAGGAAGGCACTGCTGCTGGAGGTGTAATGTTGACCTGTGGCCTCCACATGCACAAGCACATGTGAAACACTTACCACACACACACACACACACACACACACACACACACACACACACACACTACTGCTCACTTTGGTAGCACATATAGAAAAACTGATTCAATTCGGAGAAGACTGGCATGTCACCTGCACAGAGGTGACAACAAAATCATGAAGCACTCCATATTTCTCTTAATTTTTATTTTAAAAAATACAAGGCTGGGGATCACTCAGTGGTAAAGCACTTGCCTGCACACCCAAAGCCCTAGGTTTAATCTCCAGCACTACCTAAAAAAAAAAAATCCAAGCTGAAAGGCACAAAATTATGAAAAAAAGACAAAAAATCACAATTTTAAGAACATTAAAGGTTTAAATGGGAAAGATCATGGATTTAGTTCTATCAAAAGGAAACCATCTCTGTGACACTTCTCACACCTTTTCCATGAGGAATAATACAGACCAAGACCTGGGACACAGCCAGAAGAAACAGTTGCTCTAGTCCTTAAGCAATTTACAGTGGCTACTTGGAGGACCCATCAGATAGGAGCCGACACTAGAAGATATGCACCCCACAAACCAGAAAACTTTTTTCCACACTAAAGTATCTGTGTGACTCACAACAGAAACATACACAGGTCAGACTGTTGTTAAAGTGAGGTGGTTTAGTTATCTTACCATAAACATACACTTCACTAGGAATGTGAAAAACCTTCAAAATAAAATTTAAAAACAACCAAAGTAACTGCAAGGGAGTTAATCACCACATAAAACAAAAGCTGTTTTTTAACTTACCCTGTTTTTTAAACTTTTTTCATCTCAGAAGCCTTCCTTATCTCAGTTTTATTTAAAATACTTCCAGAAAAAGTCCAAGAGTTTCTAAGTTTGTACCACCTGGAGCAGTTAAAAATCAGTTTCAACTATAAATTGTTAAAAAAAATTACTCTCTACTCACTCCCCATCCAGTACCAAAGCACCTCTAAGATTCCAAAGCAGTTGTCACACATAACTCCACTTCAGAACCCAGCTAGGCTGGCTGCCCTCTCCAGCAAGAGGCCTCAGACTGGAAGACCAGGAGAAGCTGCAGCCTCTCAGTTCCCTAATTGAGGCCTATTATGCTGATGAGTTGCAAAGAAAAGACCACAGATTCAGTCTGATAGTCATTTGTACCATAATCAAGCAGTGGCTAGTGTACTGGTTAAAATTTGCTTGCCACTGGGAGAGTATCTGACAAGAAGCAACCCAAAGAGAGGGAGAGTGTTTTTTTTTGTTTTTTGTTTTTTTTTGTCTCAGTTTGAGAAGGTACAGTCTGCCATGGCAGGGAACGTGTGGTAGCTGAAGCAACTAGGTCCATGGTGATGGGAGTGTCCAGCTGCCTGCTCATACCTCAAAGGAACAGGAAGCAAAAATCTAGGGCAGTAAGTGGGTCATAACCTGTAAGGCCTACCCCTGTGACCCTCTTCTTCCAGTAATGCCCCATCTCCTAAAGGATCCACAATTGTCTGAAACAGTGCCAATGACTAGGAACCAAGTATTCAAATACACAAGTCAATGAGGGACATTTCACAGTCAACGCCTAACAGTTGACTTTCAATGTTATTTTCATCTGTTTACTGATATGGGTGCTGGAGATGTTTATTTATTTGGTGCTGGGGATTGGTCTCAGGGCCTTGAGTGTGCTAAGCCCATATCCTCCCATCAAACCACATTCCACCCTCTGAATTTTAAAATAAATTAAAATACACAATTGTGGCCAGGCAAGGTGGCACATACCTATAATCCAAGCACTCAAGAGCCTGAAGCAGGAGACTGTCAACTCAAAGCCAACCTGGGCTTCATAGTAAGTTCTAGGCCAGTCTGAGTTATACAGTGAGACCCTGTCTCAAAAAAAGTAAATAAGCCAGGCATGGTGGGCCATATAAAATCCCACCACTCAGGAGGCTGAGGTAAGAGGATTGCCATGAATTCAAGGCCAGTCTCAGCTACTGTGAGTTCCAGGCCAGCCTGGGACTAGAGTGAGACATTCATCCCCCAAAAAATAACAAAATTAAAATAGACAAACAAAAAGCTTGTTGGGCCTGGTGGTACAAGTCTGTAATCCTAACTACTCAGGAGGCTGAGGCAGGAAGATCACATATTCAAGGCCTATTAGAGCCACAAAATTTTGATGTTCAGGACCAGCCTAGACAAATTATTGATACTCTGTCTCAATAAAAAGTACAAAAGAGGACTGGAAATACAGCTAGTGGTAGAGTGCTTGCCTAGCATGTACAAGGCCTAGACTTAATCCCCAGTACTACAAAAATAATCAAAATAAAATAAAAGCACAAATTATAATCTTCAAAATGATAAATTTTATGTCATGTAATTCTTATCTCAAAAAAGCTATTTCTTGAGTTTTTTTTGGGGGGGTTTGTTTGTTTTTTTCTTTTTTTTTTTTTAAAGTTGGGGCTTGAAAGATAGCTCAGTAGTTAAGGGCACTTGCTGTTCTTCCAGAGGACCAAAGTTCAGGTCCCAGAACCTACATCAGGTGGCTGCTTGGAATTACAGCTACAGGGGACCCCAACCCTCTTCTGGTCTCTGTGTACTCACAGAAGCATGTGCACAGATATGCACACAGACACATAAGTAAAATAACAAAATAAATCTTTTAAATATAAAGAGAGAGAGGCCGGGCATGGTGGTGCACGCCTTTAATCCCAGCACTTGGGAGGCAAAGGCAGGCGGATCTTTGTGAGTTCGAGGCCAGCCTGGTCTACAACAGTGAATAGAGAGAGAGAGAGAGAGAGAGAGAGAGGGAGAGAGAGAGGGAGAGAGAGAGAGAGCACACTAGCTGGTCATGGTGGCACATGCCTTTAATCCCAGCACTTAGGAAGCAGAGGTAAGAGGACCTATGAGTTCAAGGCCAGACATACAAAGCAAATTCCAAGCCAGCCAGAACTACAAAGTGAGCCTCTGTCTCCAAAAAAAAAAAAAAAAAAAAAAAAGGGCTGGAGAGATGGCTCAGGGGTTAAGAGCACTAGCTGCTCTTGAAAAGGACCTGAGTTGGATTCCTAGCACCCACATAGTGGATAACAACCATCTGTAACTCCAGTTCCAGGGAACCTGACACCCTCTTCTGACCTCCGAGGGCACTGACAACACAGGTGCACTTACACACATACAGGCAATACACTCATACACATAAAAAACAAAATAATTTTTTTAAAAAACCAAAATAAATAAATACATAAATAAAAATACAGGGGCTGGAGAGATGGCTCAGCGGTTAAAAACACTGTTCTTTCAGAAGACCCAGGTTCGAATCCCAGCACCCACATGGCAGCTAACAACTATCAGTAACTCCAGTTCCAGGGAATCCAATGGACTCTTCTGTCCTCCTTGGGCATTGCACAACATGGGTGCACTTACCTACATGCAGGCAATATATTCATATACATAAAAAAATAAAAATAATAAATAAAATATATAAATAAAATAAAAATAAAAATACAGCAAAGTGCTGGGTGTGGTAACACATGTCTTTAATTCCAGCACTCCTGAAGCAGAGGTTGGCAAATCTCTATGAGATAGAGGCCAGTTGAAGTCTACAGGGAGACCCTGTCTCAAAACTACCAAAAAAAAAAAAAAAATGCCCTGACTGGCCTGGAACTCACTTATGTAGACCAGGCTGGCCTCAAACTAGGAGTGATCCTCCTGCCTCCTCCTTCCAAGTGCCAGGATTATAGGCATACACTAAGCTAATGCCGAGCTTATTAGCAGCTTTTCAGATAAAATTTACATCCATTAGTTCAGGAAATTTACCTCAAATTTTTCCTATAATCCATATATAAGTGTACAACAGTACAGACAAGAGATATTTTATTTTTTTAAAAAAATCAATTAATCCCAGCACTCGGGAGGCAGAGGCAGGTGGATCTCTGTGAGTTCGAGGCCAGCCTGGTCTCCATAGTGAATCCAGGCCAGCTGGGGCTACAGGGAGACTCTGTCTCAAAAAGACCAAAAAATAAAAATTAAACAATTCCAGTAATCACCAACTTAAGCAATGTATACAGCCATATTATGAAGTTGTTTAAAAAATAAAACACACCTCAAGTATAATTACAAGTATTGAATTGAAAAATATGTGTTTGAAATATTAAATAGGGGCTAGGGAAATAGCTTAGCTGGTAGAGTGCTTGCCTTGCACTTATGAGGTATTGGATTCCACACTCAGTACCAAAAATAAAAAATTAAATACAAAGCAACATTCAAGCTTTTATGCTTAAATATGCACAGAAAATGACTGGAAGTTTTGGAGGAATAAATATTATTTGGTTTTAATTGTCTGAATATGATTACAATGAATACATATCTTTTAACTATGTTTTGTTTATAATTTGAATACATGAGTTAAGAAATAAAGACTTACCCATACCATGAACCCAACCTGTCTTTCTGGTGCTCTATGGTTCTAGCCAGACCAGCTTTTTCCTCTTTTGAGAAATTAACCTAGGCAATTCCTTTCCCAAATGCTTTGGGAATTAGCTTGAATAGCTACCAGCTATGGCTTCAAATATAAATGATCTGGGTTGAAAGAACTATGCCTGCCTGCATCTGCTACTGTACATTTTAAAAGACTCTTAAAAGAGAGAGGAGGGAAAACTGAAACACAATTAATAATCTTTATCATAGAAGCAGCCAAAGTAATCAGCACAACCCGTGCATTCTGGCCTCTGTGCCTTTGCTCCATGCAATTTCCTGCCTGAAATCCTCTTAGCCACTTATCACATGTCCAAATACTGCCAATCCTTCAGAACATGGGTTAAACACCACCTCCTACACTGAACCCTCCCTAATTCCTGAGTCAGAGCTCATTCTCTTTCCTAAACCATAGCATCCTCACTCTGAAGACAATTTCCTCACCTAGACTCACTTGTATCTAAGTCTTCTCTTTTCCATTAGTGAGAAGATTCATCAAGGGCACAACTGTCAAGGGCACAATTTGTGTCTTGGTTATTTTGTATGCATCATTTCATGCATAAATCAAAATCGTATTTCACTAAAACATATAAAAAGGGAAGGGCAAAAATCTAAAAATATTTAAAGACAGGCTTTTAGTATGTATTTAATTAGCTCATAGGGCTACATGTGACAAATAGTATCAGAAGGCTGTGATCCCTCCCTCCCTGTTCCCCTCCCCAACATCACTGCC